AAAAAAAAAAAAGAAGTGCCAGACCTCAAGGACACAGGACAGGTTAGGGGTTAAAAGGATGGACTCTGGAATGGAACTACCTGGGTTAAAGGCAGTTTACTCACTGATAACTTTGACCTCCCTGAGCCCATCTCTTCATCTGCAGAGTATAATACTATCTTTCTTAAAGGGCAGGTGAAAAGATTAAGTGAGATAATGTACGTAATTTGCTTAGCACAGTGCTTGACACATAGTAAGTTAGAATAATACCTCAGTGAGTCTTAGCTGCCATCATCTTCCTCATAATTATCATGAAATTAACTCCTAAAGTCTTCCATTGAGGGTCCAAGTCCCTTACATGTCAGAGAAGCCCATCTTGCAGCCTCTCCTCTACTCTTCCCCACACCACACCACTTACTATCCTCCCTGTCCCTCTCCCAAATCAGACTTTCACATCTCTGGGTCTGGGTACCCACTCTTCCCCTCACCTAGAATTCTTTCCCTACTCTGCCTGGTGAATGCCACCTTTCAAGACAGCCTCATTTGTTATTCCATCTCAAGTCCCCTCTGAGGCTCCCTCCTCTTTTTCTAGAACTCGCAGTATTGTAGCACCTCAAAGCTCAGTCTGTTGACCCCTTCTCTTCTCCATCAGTACTCCCTTTATGATCTCTCTCTCTCCGGGCTTTAAATACTTATACGCTGGTAATTTCTAAAAGCGTATCACCAGACCAGACCCTTTCCCTCTTCCATTTGATCAATTGGACATCTCACACTCAACATGAGCAAAAATGAACCCTTGGTGTTCCCCCCAAATCTGTTTCCTCTGCATATCCTTCCCACCCCAGGTATTGGCAACGCCATCCTTCCAGGTGCTCATGCCAAAAGCCCTGGAGTAAATCCTCACCTTCTCTTTTCCACTCACATTCCATATCCAACCCAGGGATAAATCCTGTTGGTTCTACTTTCAACATATATCCAGAATCTTCCTACTACTCACCCCCGTACTGTTAAGAGCCCTGGTCAGACCCATCATCATCTCTTGTCTGGATTACTCAATGGCTCCTAACTGGTCTTTCTGCATCAAACCCAGTCTATTCTGAATATAGCAATCAGAGCAATATTTTTAGATTTTTGTTGTTGCTGTTGTTTTTGAGACAGGGTCTTGCACTGTTGCCCAGGCTGGAGTGCAGTGGCATGATCATGGCTCACTGCACCCTCAACTTCCCAGGCTCAAGTGATCCTCCCGCCTCAGCCTCCTGAGTAGCTAGGACTACAGGTATACACCAGCATACCCAGCTTTATTTCTATTTCAGTAGAGATGAGGTCAGGCTACGTTGTCCAGGCTGGTCTCGAACTCCTGGTCTCAAGTGATCCTACTGCCTCGGCCTCCCAGAGAGCTGGGATTACAGGCATGAGCCATTGCACCTGGCTTAGAGCAATCTTTTTAAACTCTCAGTCACATGTCCTCCTCCACTCAGAACTTTGCAATGGCTCCATGTTGCTCTCATAGTTAAAACTCAGAGTCCTTAAAATGATGCTGGCCAGTCTGACTCCCTTACTCCCCGACCTCACTTTCAACTACTTTACCCCTCACTCACTCTGTTCCAGCCACATTTACTTCCTTGCTGTTCCTATATCTTGCCAGAAGGCAATTTCCTGTTTCTCCTTAGTTGTTTCCTCTGCTTGGAAATCTCTTCTGTTGAGATTCCCACATGGCTAGCAACTTCAAATCTTTGTTCAAATCTCACCTTCTCAATGAAAACTGCCCTGACCTGAGCTAGATCTCAGACACAGGCACCTGACCCCACTCATCTACGTGGTCTCCCAGGAGGCTCGGCCTCTTAACTAGTTCTTCCTGGGCCTCTGAAAAAACCCTCCTGGCCGAGTGCCTTCTCTGGCCCCATATTAGGTTCCGAGAAAAGGAACCATTCTAATGTTATAGGGCTCAAATCAATTGTTCCAGATGCCAAGGCCTGTAAACAATTGAGACTGAAACCATGCATGCTAGAAGCCTGTGCTGTCCCACTGTGCTGCTTGCTGGAGAGCTCCATGGCCTTGTCCTGCCCAACATAGGCCATTATTCTACCCCTAGCAACGAGCGCAATTCCATGTCTAATCAGGGAGTAGAATGATGAAAAGCAGTTAGTTGAGGATTTGGGATTGTTGGTTTTTGTGGATTTTTTTTTTTTTTTTAAATTATCAAGTCATTTTATTATGTCCATCAGTCAAAATTGGAAAAAAATGGCTGGGCGCAGTGGCTCACGTCTGTAATCCCAGCACTCTGGGAGGCCGAGGTGGGCAGATCACGAGGTCAGGAGATCAAGACCATCCTGGCTAACACGGTAAAACTCTGTCTCTACTAAACAAAATACAAAAAATTAGCCGGGCGTGGTGGCAGGCACCTGTAGTCCCAGCTACTTGGGAGGCTGAGGCAGGAGAATGGCGCGAACCTGAGAGGCAGAGCTAACAGTGAGCCGAGATCACTCCACTGCACTCTAGCCTGGGCAACAGAGCAAGACTCCATCTCAAAAAAAAGGAAAAAACCACAAAGGATTCTTAATACATTTCATGTTTTCATCTGTGGATGTTAATTACAGAATAGCTGACAGCAGAAACTCATTTTAGGTTAGAATCTTTCTCTGAGTCTCACTGGGCTCCTGCGTGATTATTTGCAACCCTTCTGTCCCTTCTTCCAGGCCTTCCCTTTATCCCACCCCACCCCATCTCACCTCTGCTCCCTCTTAATTGTTCATTGAGAGAAAGCAAGAACACCAACCAACTGATGACGTTCTTTCTGTACTTAGTGTTACCTGCCAGTGAGTAGTCATTTTTGTGAGCTGGGAGACATTCTCCACCATGGCTAATTACCAGGGAGTTCGAGTCATTCTGCCTGGGTTCAAATACCCCCTCTGCCACCGATGCTGTGGGAATGATTTGGCCTCTTTAAGGTATTGAACATTAGTGTTCCTTCTTTATAGGGGCTGTAAGGATGGAGTGAGCAAATTCGATTAAAGACCAGAGCCAGCCTCTGGCATAGAGGAAGTGAGCACTCAGAGTACAGTAGCTGTTGCTACTGATATTTCACAGGCTCTGATGCAGAGAAGCTTGTCCCCAGTGCTCCGTCCACAAAGGGAGCAAGTTGCTCCCCATTCATGACTCAAAATACCCTGAAGGAAGATTATGTTCATTAGTTCTTCAGTAAATTTCCACCTTGTGAAATGACTTCGGATGTTTGTTAATGCTGGTAAGCTTTCCGACTTCCCTGTGAGAGGAGTGTTGGCATTCTCTTTAGCCCCAAATACTTACTTTAAAGAAAACCACTCTTATGTTACAAAAATACAATAGCAGTTCTAAATAAAAGTTATTCTGACTTCAATCTTTATCTATAACCCTCATTTCCAGTGAGTTCTATAAACTTTCTTTCTGATTCTAAGGAAACTGTAGCTTCCTGCCACTTCCTCTATTAATATAGTTGTAGTAACATCTCCTCACTGTCTATTCAACTACATAATCAAAATAGGAAAACAGACTTCCTAAAAGTTGAACTTAAGTTAGACATTAACTCTCAATATCTGGTTCATGATTGTATTTTTTGTTATTAATTCTTTAAAATTAATTCAAGAATCTTAATTATGCAAAGCTTCAGAATAATGGCAAAGACTATTTTCTCCTTTGCAAGGCAACTGCTTTACCATTTATATTCATTTTCACTTTCTAGGAATACAAATAAATATTAGAGAATTTCACACACTAAAAAATTGTCAATCAGAAAGAGGACTCAGCAGACTATTAGAAATCTGTAAAAAAAAACAAAAAAAAGTTGTTTTAAGTATATATAAGTTACTATGTATCTGTGTACACAGTAACTTTCTCCTTTCCAGTCTTCCTATTTGTATTCAAATATTCAAATAACAACATACCAGATAGCTGCCCACAGTGTGATTTTCTGCAGTACTTTTCCTGGATGCAAAATGTTTGACCCTGCAAAGACAAGGTGACTCAGCACATTCAAATTGCAGAGCTCAGGTTTAGAGGATAGATACATTGCAAGAACTGCTGAGAAGATATTAGGAGAGGATTTTTATTAAGGTTTGAAAGGTCAAAGAATTTAAATGTATGCCCCTCTAGCCCTACCCCCACCCTGCCCCAAAAAAGAAAAATATGGACTGGAGAAATGAGAAATAAGATTGCGGTAAAAACAATTCTATCTGATTGCTAAAAAGATTGTTGTACTTAACTACATTAGCATTTAAATGGCCCCAGTAGGACATGGAGGAAATACCTACACACTAATGCAAAAAAGGTAGGGAAGCTGGTCAAGTTTGCACCTTTTTTGTCCCATTGTTTAAATGGAGCCAGTTTTTTCCCCAGGCTGGATAAACAGACTGCAATGAAGGTGAAACAGACATTGAGAAAGCTAATGCTACTTACAAAAAAAGCAAATAAACTAAATTTTGTTAAATTTACAAAGACTGTAAAGTTGAAAAATTGAGAATGTTAAGCACTATCTGCTTTTCTACTGGTGTGTTTGGAAACTAGTGATTCCCAAACCTTGCAGACTATCAAAACCACAGGGGAGGTTTTCATAAATGTAGATTGACAGTTCCCTTCCTGTCCCCATTCTGATTCAGTGGGTTTGGGGTAGAGCCCAGGAGTCTATAAAACACTCATCCATGTGATTCCCACACACAGGTTAGGCTGGGATCAGACACAGCTGATGAAATGCAAAGGTGAGGCAAAACAAACTGGGAGTCACATCTCTCCCAGCCCAACTGTAAAATGCATGGGTAAAAAGTCAAAGGGTACTTTAACATTTAGGAGGATGTCTCTTCATATGTTAAAGCTGACAAATAAGGCCAGGCGCGGTGGCTCACGCCTGTAATCCCAGCACTTTGGGAGGCCAAGGTGGGTGGATAACTTGAAGTCAGGAGTTCAAGACCAGCCTTACCAACATGGTGAACACCCATCTCTACTAAAAATACAAAACTTAGCCGGGCATGATGGCAGGTGCCTGTAATCCCAGCCACTCAAGAGGCTGAGGAGGGAGAATCACTTAAACCCGGGAGGCAGAGGTTGCAGTGAGCCGAGATGGCACCACTTTACTCAAGCCTGGGTGAAAGAGTGAGACTCTGTATCAAAAAAAAAAAAAAAAAACTTGACAAATATTAGTCGTATTTTTAATTGTCTTACCTTTTAAAATTCCCAAAGATATCCCTAAATTTTAAAAGTTATTTTAGAACATGACCTTGCCTTCTAGTTCCTGTTTATAGTGATGGGCTACACATATCTTTGTGCCTGAAACAAAGACTTCTTTGCCAGACTCTGTGCCTGCTAATTTCCTTCAATTCATTCACAAAATCTTCACTGCAACTCCTGTAAGTAACGACTATGATCCCCATTTTACAGATGAAGAAGTGTGGCTATGAGAATTGTTCTAGTGATAAAGCTGAGACTTAAACAGAGTCCTAATACTCATGCTGGGTTGTCCACTGTTATAAAGGGCTGGGTTTGTTGGTTGGTTGGTTATTTGGAGAAACTAACACATGACATTTGGATATGTTCAAAAGAATCTCAGGCCTGGCATAATCTTCATACATTCAGCAAACAACGAGTTAGGCATCATGTCAGGTGTGGGCAAATACAAGGACCCCCCACAGCTCTCTACCCTGGAAGTACCTTCCCCACCCCTCTACAGGGTAGCAGACAGACAAAGGAATCACCTCCAAGAGCTTCTTCTGGACTTTGCTCAATTAATTGTCCCATTGTCTTCAGGGACACATGCGTAGCCGTCTGAACTGAAACATTTCCACTGCTGATTCAGAAATGTGTTCACCCTAATTATGGGCACAGAATGCTCTGAGGAACACAGGTGGGAGGGGCTGTCTGGGGCCCTCTGGATGCCTTCACAGAGAATATGGCTTATGAGCTGAAGGTTGAAGGATGAAAAATATGTCACAAAGCAAAGGAAAAGGGCCCAGGGCAGAATGTGCTGGGCCTACCATGTCCAGCAGGGGACCCTGGGGCTGAAGTAAGGCCAGAGGCAGGAGCAACAGGGGGAATGGGGCAGGTGGGGAGGCGGGGTGTAGGCTGGGAAAAGACCCAGAAGGGGATTTTATGCTATGTAAGGAGTTTAGAATTCAAAAGATGCAAAAGGGAACCAATAATGGGGTTTTGTGTGTGTGTGTGTGTGTGTGTGTGTGTGTGTGTGTGTGTGTGTGTTTTGGCTAAAGAAGGAACAAAGATATCTGTAACTGGTTGTGATCAATTAGTTGTAAACACTGTTGCACTTGACCAGCCCCAGCAGTGGTTTTTATGCAGAGGAGTCATAGGACCAGATTGGTATTTAATAATGCTTGTGCCAAGGTAGAGAATGGGTTGCACAGAAGGCACAGGGTTTGACGGATCAGATCAAAGGCTGTTGCAACAATCAAGGTTGGATCCAGTCCAGACTAATGGTGTGATCCTGCCATTAAAAAAAAGGACCTCACTGGAGAAATCTCTGAGGTTCGGGTCATGAGCTTTCGAGTCAGGTGGGCTGAATGCTGGTTCTCAACCTCTTCTTAGCCATGTCCTTAATGTCATCAAAACCTCACCTTGCTTATTGCAGATGAGATGAAATCTGCTGTCTGGGTCATTTTGCAAATGAAATCGGGGTTCATGCTCATCTGCACAAGGTTCTCACTCCATCAGTGGTGATAGCATTGATGATGATGATGATGATAATGATGATGATAATGATGATGACAATGACAGACAACACTTGAGTGACTGACTGGCTTTAGGCTGAGGGTAAGTGATAGAAGAGTACAGGATACCTCCAAGTTTCCTAATCAGGTGAATGAAGGCACACATTGTCAACCAGGTTGGGGGCACAGAAAGAGGACCTGGTTTTGGAAAAAAAAAAAAAAAAGCAGCGCATTTGTTTTGAACATGTGCTAAGGATACCTACAAGAATTTGTTTTATGAACAGTTAGCTGGAAATACAGATTGAAAGAGGAGTCAGGGCCAGGCATGGTGGCTCACACCTGTAATCCCAGGACTTTGGGAGGCTAAGGCGGGCGAATCATGAAGTCAGGAGTTCGAGACCAGCCTGGCCAACACATGGTAAAACCCTGTCTCTACTAAAAATACAAAAAGTTAGCTGGGCATAGTGGCAGGTGCCTGTAATCTCAGCTACTCGGGAGGCTGAGGCAGCAGAATTGCTTGAACCCGGCAGGCAGAGGTTGCAGTGAGCCGAGATCGCACCACTGTACTCCAGCCCGGGCGACAGAGTGAGACTCCGTCTCAAAAAAACAAAAAAAAAAAAAAAAAGAAAAAGAAAGGAAAGAAAGAGGAGTCAGGGCTAGAAGTACAAATTTATGAGCCATTTGGGATCACGTTTGAAGCCGTGGGAATGAAGTTTCAGGGAACACTAATACATATGGCATACTGAGAAGAAACCAGACTAGCAACTATTTTGCTCAAAATGAAAGCTCTGATTCAGGATTGTCAGAAACAGAGAGCCATTAAACAAATGTACATTGAGAGCAAACTACATGCCAGGCACTGCCCTGGAGCTGGAAACTGGAACATACAAGTCAACCCAAGGAAAGCTCACATTGTCACAGAGGACACAACCCTACAATAAACCTGGTACCCCAAAAGAGGGAAACCACCACGAGGGAAGTAGGCAGGGTGCAGGCAGAGTGTGGAGATGGTAAGTGCCTGAGGGAGGCCCAGGCTAGCTACAGGGGCCAGGTAAGGCCTCCCTAGGAGAGGACACTTGAGCTGAGACCTGAGACTAGGAGAGCATTAACTGAGGACTTATTAAGTACAAGGCTCTGTTCTAAGCCTTTTAAGTACATTATCCTATTTAATCCTTACAACAACCCAATGATGTAGGTGCTGTTATTATCCTCATACTAAAAATAAGGAAACTTAACCACAGAAATGTTAAGTAACTTCCCCCACACAGCTAGCAAGCTGGCAGAGAAGACCCTGACTCAGACAGTCTAGCTTCAGACAGCCCATGCTCTTCCCCACTGCACAAACTGCTTCTCACTGTCTGTGATAAATGCTCCTATTAATAGAAAATGAGTTCAAGAAGGAAAATGCGATCAACAGTGATCACACTGGTTCGCAGCACAAAGGCTTCATCTAGAAATAATTGCAAGTGCTTGGTCTTTGCTATGTTACTAGTTAAAGCATGGACGCTTCATAGAGAATTGGTCAGTAGCCCCAGATTCAAGTGTCAGGTTCACTATTCTCTCATTCCGTAACCTGGGGACAGACAAGCAATGACCTCTACGAACCTTCATTCTTTTCACCAGTAAGATAGGTCTAACACACAACTCCAAAATTACCATGAAGATAAAGAGATACAAGCCACATACATGACAATCTCTAGCAGACAATGTTATCTTCAGGAGCTGGCTGATGCTGGGGAAAGGTTCCCAGTACAGATAGCACACCATGACGTCTTCATAAAAAGCTGAAGCTCAGAGCAGGTGCGGCACTGAAAACAGGACACTTTAGGTGACAGCCTACAGACTGCTATTCTGAGAAAAGATCTTCAAGGGGTGGAAAAAATCACTTTTAGAACTCCAACTGGTCTTATCAATTTTTAAGAAAAATTAAATTTGTCATATTTGCCACTGTGAAAATCAGCTCAAATATACAACAGGAAAGCTTATTTCGCTGAAACTCAGTTCATTCCAAAGTGACTCAATCAAAAAAGATAGGCTTCTTCTGTGTTCTACCTTTTCTCCCCCTACTTTCCTCATACCAGACAATAAAGTATTGTCCCTTGTGAGGTAGAAACAAAATAGCAACATGAAAACAAATTCTAATAGCTCATGGGAAGAACAGACATCAAGATCCCAAAGTTCTATGTTAAATGCCTTAAGAGGAACCACCACTGTGCAATGGTGGTCCAGAAAGAGCACGCTCAGCCAGCTGGATCAGGAATGATTATGAAGAAAGGATTTGATCACAGCTTTACAGGGCTTTAAAGGGCAAACTACGGTTTCCTGCAGTGGCTTTGGAAGACAGCATCCACAAGGCCCTGAGAGGCATGGCTTTGCCTGCCTTTGTCTCCTACAGCATCCACCACTCTCCTAGCCCCGACTGCCAGCCACAAGGGCAGCTCTGTTCCTCTCAGGATCCTTCGAGGCCACCCCTACATGCAGGCATCTGCACTTGCTCAGGATCAGAAATACTTCTGGTCTGTGAATGAGCTTCACACTGCTGGTCTCAAGGGGAATATAACCTTTTCTGTAAAGCCTTCACTGAGCACCTGCCCCTCTAAAGTTCCCACCTGGACATGCCCCATATCCACCACCATCACTCCTCCACACAAACTCATTAACATTCTATTTTACTTTCTTTACAGTACTTATAAAGTACCATGGCAAATTATCGTGTTCAATTTTTTGACTGGATTATTTTCTGCCCATCTCCATCCTCTACTAAAAATTAAGTCACATAAGTGCCTAGATATTGTCTTTCTTTTTCACCCTTATATTCCCAGCACCTGGCAGGAAGTAAAGAGCTCAATAAATATTTATTGAATCAATACAGGAATGCAGAAGAGCATGATCAAGTTGCAGAGGCAGAAAAATAAAAGCTGAGTTTGAGAAAGTGGTAAGTTGTATGTTCTGGTCCAGCTGGGCACAGATGGATGAGGTGGGACAGGTTGCTTGCAGAGGACTTGATGCAGTTTGGACTGAGTAGATAGCGGGAGAGCTTCTGAGAGTGTTTGATCAGGCAAGACCTTGAGCAGTGCTGTCGTTAGAGAGGATTAGGCCAGCAACTATGAATAGGATGAACTGAAATTAAGCTAGAAAGCCCAGAGAAAACCATTTGTTACCCCTAAAATTGGCAAAGATTAAGAAGTCTGACAAATGTTGGAAAGTATCTGGGGAAACAGTTTTCCAACAGTTGAAAATCAATTTGGTAATATCTCTTAAAAGTTAAATTGTGCCTATTCAAAATGTAGCAATCCTGCATCTAGGAATCAAGACTAAGAAACTATTGCCTATATATTAGTGAAAAAATTATAAACAATCATATATTCACTAATAAATTGATAAAATGTGGTATTATTTATGCTATGAAATACCAGATAGCAAATAGATGGGCGTGGTGGCTCATACCTGTAATCCCAGCACTTTGGGAGGCCGAGGCGGGCAGATCACCTGTGGTTGGGAGTTCGAGACCAGCCTGGCCAATACAGTGAAACCCTGTCTCTACTAAAAATATAAAAATTAGCCGGGCTTGGTGGTGGGCACCTGTAGTCCCAGCTACTTGGGAGGCTGAGGCTTGAACCCAGGAGGCAGAAGTTGCAGTGAGCTGAGATTGTACCACTGCACTCCAGCCTGAGTGACAGAGCAAGACACTGTCTCAAAAAAAAAAAAAAAAGCTAGACAGCAACTAAAAATAATGAATATGTATAGATGTGTGTGTGTGTGTCTGTACAAAAACATGGCTAGACCTTAAAAACAATACTCAGAGAAAGTAAACAAATCATATAACAGTGGGCTGGGCATGGTGGTTCACACTTGTAATCCTAGCATTTTGGGAAGCAGAGAAGGGAGGATCTTTTGAGGCCAGGAGTTTGAGACCAGGCAACATTGTGAGATCCTATCTCTACCAAAAAAAAAAAAAAATTAGCCAGGCATAGTGGCACACAACAGTAGTCCTAGCTACTTGAGAAGCTGGAGCAGGAGGATCACTTGAGCCCAGGAGGTCACGGCTGCAGTGAGCTATGATCATGCACTCCAGCCTGGGTGACAGGGTGAGATCTTATCTCTCTAAAAAAGAAACTATTTATGTATATTTAAATCCATAAAACAATACTACATATTAACTATGGGTACATATAAATATATATATAAAATATTAAAAAGTATACAAACTGAACATGGGCTCTGGGACATCAGGACAGAAGGAGGAAATGGAATTAATATTCAAAGGCAACTTGATTTTATCATCAATGTTTTATTTCATTAAAAAGTTGAATCAGATATGACCATAATAATAACAGTTGTTAATTTCGAATGATGGGAATATAGTAGCGTTTACTGGGAATCAGAAGAGAGATGCTAGACACAGATGGAAAAACTAACAGGATTTCAGGACTAGGTGGGTTAGTGGAGGGTATAAAGTTGCCAGAAAGAATGAAGAGTAAAAATCATATTCTCTAGAGGCTAGCCACACCATTAAAAGAACTAAAAAGCAATGAGCTCTACTTTAGAAAGGTTTACCTTATTAATGAGACAGCCAAATCATGGTCAGCAAGAAGTCAGAATTCAAAAACCCGAGCGGGCACTGACAAGCTATCCTGCAAAAGTAAGGAACAAAATAGGTGCCTCAATCAATATCCTCAAAAAAAATTTTTTTAAGACTTTTTTAAGGTCCATAGAGAGTTCACTTTGTGTATTTGGCTTGTTTACTATATATATAGAAACCCAACCACAGTGTCCTATACTCAACAATTGAAAGTGAGGTTACTAAATTTTAATACACATTTCTAGAAAGCCTGGGGGTCTGATTCCGAAAATCAGCCATTCTACTAAGATAACTTGTTAAGAGTTTCCTTTCAGTAAGCAAAATTGACTGACAGAGCAAACAATGATCCAAATTTACACTGTTCAAATTAAAATTTCAAGCATTAACCTCTATTCTGAAATCAAGCTGCCTGTCTCTACATAAAGATTATCAACTTCCAATTATCAGAAGAATGCAGCTTATCTTTATTATGTACCCCCCACAATATTTCATGATATTTACATGTTTGCATAGTACTTTCCTATCCTTTTGTAACATGTTTTGCAACTCCTGAAAAGTCAACAGTCTTAGCTCTTCTCTAAAGGGGGAAACACAAGAGACTGGGTGACTAGTTCAGGGTGACTCACAGGCAGAGTCAATATTGGAACTCCGAATACTGAGCCTGGCATTCCAAGTTCCCAAAACCTTTAGGCTCTTGCTAATCCCAGCAGAATTTTCTTCTTTACAGGGCTGTGCTTCTTTGAGGTCTCTGAGACCAGAATGTTAGTGTCCAAAGCTTTCTCCTTCAAAAGTAGTCAACAGTCAGAAATTAATGTTGGCCTGCAAGTTCAATGTTTTTCTTTTTTTTGAGACAGGGTCTCACTCAGTTGCCCAGGTTGGAGTGCAGTGGTACGATCATGGCTTACTACAGCCTTGACCTCCTGGGCTCAAGCAATCCTCCTGTTTCAGCCTTTCAAATAGTTGGGACCACAGCCACACCCCACCACACTCAGCTAATTTTTCAATCTTTTGTAGACATCATGGTCTCACTTTGTTGCCCAAGTTGGTCTCAAAGTCCTGGGTTCAAGGGATCCTCCCACCTTGGCCTCCCAAAGCACTGAAATTACAGGTATGAGCCACCACTTCCAGTCCATCTTCACTTTTTAAAAGACATAGCTAAACTGCATTGATACAACCTAACGATCTCCCTAATTAATGTAGCTTTGCTGGTAATTGTTTTTTTTAGAGTCCTCTGTTTAAGATTGGGTTAAATTCAAATCAAATGGTACTGTTTAAACTATTTGCTGTTTTTTGTGTTTGTTCGAGTTACTGCTATCTTGGACATGCTGAGCTTCTAACTGCCACAGGGCTAGTTTGCTGGTACTGACCTTATAAAGCCAACAGTTAGTGACTGTGTATATAAGGATTTAAGAGATTATTTTACCAGAATAAGGTTGCTTTGTAGCCATCCGGTGTAAATGGTGTTTCTTTCCATTAACAAATTGAAGCACTCTTAAGCACCTGAAATTAAATAACAGCTTAAAAAATAAATTAATATACAAAAAATTTAGGTTTACTGACAATATCAGATTATTTCCCATTTTAAAAAAAAAATCACCCAACCTTTTTTTTCTGATGCCTTTCACGTGGGATTTCAAAAAGCTTTTCCAAATATTTTCACTATCCATAGTTTTCATTCTAATTTTGTAAATTAAAAAAAAAAGAGCCAAATAACTTACCCAAAGTTATGCAGTCAGTTGGTAGTAAAGACCAAATAAGAGCTCAAATTTAATCTAGTAATTAAGAATCTGACACAGTGTCCTCTTCGCTAAGTTGTACTACTGCCTCATTTTATTTCCCTTAAAAAATAATTGTTTGCATATCAATTAAACTGGTCATATTGAAATATAAAAGCAAGCCAGTATTATCAAGAGGTCCTTTCTTAAAGCAACAAAATGCAATCACCTTTGTGCTAAAAAAAAAAAAATAAGCAATAAAAATAATTGTGTACCTTATAAATTTATCTACAAGTTTTAGCCTTCATTATATTCATTAATTAAAATGTCATAAATCTTCTTTTCCTATTGCTAAGATATTCTTCAACTTGCATACAAAGCACCAAAATGCACATCAGCCACAACACACACAAATTCATCACTCAATCTCGGTCCATTACTCTTGCCAAGGTCAGTATCGAATATTCTTGAAATTTTCACTTGTAGAATGAATAGATGTTTTGTAAGGATTATCTATTCAGGCAGAAAAAAAGGGGGGAGGGGAAGAACACAAGAAACAATTAGCTATTCAACTGGTACTGAGCAAATTCCAAGTACGGAATCCTTTGTTTGTTTTTATCTTGTTTTTGTTTTTCTTACCTACCTTGGGACTCCAGTCCATGAGAAGAAATACATCTTGTGAGATTTTTGTACAGCTTTTCTACAAACCTCCGTAGAGAAGGAAACGTTGTTGTCAGTTTTGGCTTCCTTTTGCAGTCAGGGACTGGGACCCAGAGTTATCTATTTGCATTTCAACACCCTTTTGTTTTCTGTCCCACAAGAGGCTCAACCAGTTCAAAAGCAGGTAAGGCAGTTAGATCACTGTAATAACCCTAGAAAACTCAAAGGAGAAAACTTTTGCAAACAATGTGGTTATTTTAGCAAAAAACTACTACTTATTTAATCATTCAAGCCTACAGAGCTCAAGCTAGACCATCTTGTTAAAAGTGTACCTTAGATTGTTCTTAATTCTCTCTGTGCCCGAGAGAGAAGAACAATGGCGAAAAGCAGGGTTAGGGAACAGAGAGGAAGAGAGTTCTGCGTCTGGAATCTCTTCTGAATAAACAAATATCCCTAAAATATCAAAATATTCATAGGAATTTACAGGTCACATTATTGCATTTGATTCTGAGAGCAACAGCCTCTGTCATTTCGGCTGAAGGAGCATTCCTATATAGCTCTAACAAAATTAAGAGAAAAGAATGTTTTCTAGGTGGAGAGAGTTGGAGAGGATTGGTAAAGGTGCAGCCATCCCAGTGCCTGAAGGACACTCAGATACAAATGCTGCTGGTGTATAATTCCTGTCACACCCACTCAGATGACTACGTGGTCAAGATTCCAGAAAGTGATCCCCAGGGCAGCTTTCTAAGCATTTAATATTCCAAGAGGCATCAGCAGATAAAAATGTGCAGAGTTGCAAATTTTTAATAGAAAAATCCCCCAGGGTCTATGTTGAAGGTCAGTGTTTGGGAAAAGGCTATATTATAATGGGGCTACAGAGTCACAGATTAGAGATAGAAGGGACCATAAGGTTCCTTTCCTCAAGGTCCATGGCTACACGGCTGGTTTGTGACAGGCTATGAGCTGTAGGGTAGCTCTCTGGGCTCCCAATCTCACACTCTTGAGCTTTTGGTTACCAAACCTGCTTAGATGAGATCCACAGTGAGGTTATATTGTATAAAATTCTAAGACTTGGCAAGTCAGCCTATAATGAAGATATATATGCATAGACTTCAAAGGACTGACTTTGTCATCACCTACAATAGCTCTGTCGGCAAGATTACTGATTCAGGCATTCAGCTTTTGGATAAGCATCTTTCCTTCCAACTTGCATGACAACAACTCCAACTGCTCTTAGAAATATTGGGGCCTCCAGTCTACTGATCCCTCTGCTTTCTCCCAATTCATTAGCCTTCAGCTGTTTTCACTTTCCTTCTTATTCAATTTCTAGTCCATGGTCTGTTATTACAATATTCTTTTTACCAGTCCCTTAAACTCCCTTCTTCTCTGTTTTTTCTACAAACGTATCTAGGAAAACAACAGCCCTCGTTGAACCCTGCCATCTCCTTTCTCTTTGCTTGCACACAACTGTCACACTCTGCTGGAGGTGATCAAAAGCATAGATAGGTTCATGGTCACCAACTTCTTATGGGCCCTCAATACTAACAACTGCATTTTTGTTTTATTTTTAAGAAATGGAGTCTTGCTCTGTCACCTAGGCTGGAGTGCAGTGGCATAAACACAACTCACTGCAGCCTCCAACTCCTGGGCTCAAGAATTCCTCCTGCCTCAGGATCCAAGTAGCTGGGACTGTAGGCACAAGCAACCATGCCCTGCTGTAACAACTGTGTTATGTTTCTTTTTACAACTCATTTTCCAACAATTATTTGAAACTTTCTCCATCACCTTCAAACTTCCAATACAGCCATCTCTCTCTCTTTACTCCTTCATCTTCTGCTTAGATGAGGACTCTCTAAATCTTTTTACACCCAAATCCCTGCTTTCACTCCTGCTTCAAGGTGAATGAGACTCCTCCTCCACAAGGAGAAATCCCTTCTCTTTTGCCTTACATTCTCTTCTCTCATCATCACCCACAAACTTTTTGTCACTGTTTTCTCATATCGCATCATTTTAATCAGAAAAGCCTATTGGTTCTGCCTTCAAAATATATCCAAAATCCAATAATTTCTCATCATCATCACTCCTACCCCCTCATCAAAGACATGGTCATCTGTCATCTAGACTATTAATGGTCTCTCAGCTTTCACCATTGTCCCGTTACAGTCTATTCTCAAAAGTGATCTTTTGAAATCATAAGTCAGAGCATGTTCCTCCTCTGCTTAAAACCCTCCAACGGCTTTCTGTTTACTCAGAGTAAAAGCTGAACTCCCTACAAAGACCTTTAATACCCTACCAGCACTGTCCAACACAACTTTTTGTGGCAATGGAAATGATCTACATCTCACTGTCCAATACTGTAGCCACTCGCTACATGTGGCTACTGTGAATTTGAAATGTGACTAGTGCAACTGAGAAAATGAATTTTTAATTTTTAAAATTTTAATGAATTTACATTTAAGTAGCCACTTATGGCTAGAGGCCTCCATGTTGGAATGCTCAGCTCTGCAAGATCTATTCCCCGTTCACCCTGTCCACCTCTTGCCTGAGCCTAGAAAAGCCCACATCACACTATAAAAACTCCTTTGAAGTCAGATGATGTCACTCCTCTGCTCAAAAATCTCTATGGTTTCCCATTTTACTCAAAAGCCAAAGAAAGTCCTTATCTTGATTTACAAGGCCTCATATGATCTGGCCACCTCACCCTTCTCTCTGACCTCAGCCTCTAGCTTAATCTCTTCCTTGTTGACTCCACTCCAGACACAACATTGCCCTCCTTAGTGGAACACACTAAGTATGCTATTGCCTCAGGGCCTTTGCTCATGCTGTTTCCACTGCCTGGAACATTCTTTTTCCCAATATTCATATGACAAACTCAGAGCTCCTTCACTTCCTTAGTAAGTACTCTGCTACAAGTGTCTTCTGATGAGAGGCTGATCTGACCTTACTTGATCTGAAAGTCCTATCCAAAACAATTCCCTCCCACTTGATCATTCTCTATCTCCATATTCTGTTTTTGTTGTTGTTGTTGTTGTTGTTGTTTTTAAGTAGAGACGTAGTCTCACCATGTTGCCCAGGCTGGACTTGAACCCCTAGGCTCAAGTGACCCTCTCGCTTTGGCCTCCCAAAGTGCTAGGATTATAGGGATGAGCCAACATGCCTGCTCTCTGCTATTTCTTTATAGCACAGATCTCCATCTATGTTTCTTTACTTATTACTTGTCTCCGTCCGCAGGGACAGCGTCTCTGTTTTATTCACAGCAGTATCCCTAATACCTGAAACAGTACCTGGCACAGAGTAGGGTCACACACACACACACACACACACACACACACACGGCTGAATTTGATGAGTGAATATGCATGGCCCTATGGTGCCAAAGACTACTTGCAAGTCTCAACACTGGTCTACAACCCAGCACCCTCCTGCTGCTATTCCCTGGGGAGAGGTTGGGAATGGGTTCCTCTCTAAATATAGTATCCTCACTTGCAAGAGGGCAGCTGAGTGCTTAAACTGTATCAGCTCTAATCTTCACCATAACCCATTTTACCAGTATGGAAACAGACGGGTTAAGTAAACTACTTGAACTCAGCTAGAGTGACGCTGAGCCTGTTTCTTATGACGGGGTTTCCACGGTCAATAGAAGATTCTTCTATGGGCAGCTACAAAGATATGCATTAAAGTGACCACGTAGCTTCATTATAAATCTCTTTACTGACTCTATGCCTTCATAGGGGAAAATAAGAATAACTACTTTTGTAACAGACTAAATTAAAATTAATTTCAGAGAGTTAACAGAAAATGACCAGGTGCAGTGCCTCATGCCAGTAATCCCAGCACTTTGGGAAGGTGAAGCAGGCAGATCACTCAGGTCAGGAGTTTGAGTCCAGCCAGGCCAATATGGTGAAACCCTGTCTCTACTAAAAACACAAAAATTGGCCAGGCGTGGTGGCATACGCCTGTACTCCCAGCTACTCAGGAGGCTGAGGCAGGAGAATCGCTTGAACCAGGAGTCGGAGGTTGCATGAGCCAAGATCGCGCCACTGCACTCCAGCCTGGGCAACAGAATGAGACTGCCCCAAACAAATAAAAATAAAAAATAGAAAAAGAAAATGAATGCTATTCCCACTTTCATTTTTACTCCTCCCCTAACTGGCCTAAGTTTTTCTTACCAAATTGCCATCAGATTTTCAAAATGCTATGCTAAATAAAATACTGTTGGTCTTCATGTTTGAAAATGATGTTGCTGAGAGTGCTATTTTTTAAGCTAGAATTTTTACAGTCAGCAAATAAAGTAATGGTTGGTAAATTCAAGACCAGTTCCACAGAATGAATTGAATTCCTCTTAACCTGCTGGGCAAGAGTGAATGCTATTTTTTTTCTATGTTTAACATATTCATGAGGAGCAGGGATGGAGTAAGTACATTCAAGCCACAGAGAGTCAAAATAATTTTTGCCATTGGTTTTAATTATATATGCCATGATATCTTCTGGTAGAAATTACAAACTATAAACATTGGTTTGTGTTTCACATCCCATTCTTTTCCATTGTTGCCTGACAGAAGCCCCAATGAATAGAGAAATTACATCCTTGGCTACAAAAATGGGGATGCAATTAGAATCATCCAACGGACAAAGAACCTAAAAAATTTTAGGGATTTTGGCACTCCTGTTTCCAATATCTTTGCTTCTCAGAGGGAAAAAACTCAGGTCAAGCAATTTGCTGCAAAGTACACTGTGACACATTCAGCAAGGACCAAGGTGTCCTAATTTCCCTGCAATCAGTGTGTTTTCTTTTCTTTTTTTCTGTTTTTTTTTTTTTTTTTTTTTTTTTTTTTTGAGATGGAGCCTTGCTCTGTCGCCCAGGCTGGAGTACAATGGCACGTCTCGGCTCACTGCAATCTCTGCCTCCTGGGTTCAAGCGATTCTGCTGCCTCAGCCTCCTGAGTAGCTGGGATTACAGGCGGATGCCACAACACCTGGCTAACTTTTGTATTTTTAGTAGAGACGGGGTTTCACCATGTTAGCCAGGCTGGTCTTGAACTCCCGACCTCAGGGAATCCGCCTGCCTCAGCCTCCCGAAGTGCTGTGATTGTAGGCATGAGCCACTGCGCCTGGCCCAGTGTGTTTCATTCAAAAACCAATGATTACCTTCCAATTGGTCTGGAAGAGGGAGATAATCTCCACAGAAAACCTGCATATGAGTCTTCTGACACTGTTCACAGTTACGAATTGCAAATTACTTTACAAAATTACTTCTCTCAAAATACTCAGACACCTGGCCACAGACTGCCAACCTAATACTAAAATAGGCACCTTGATCAGCTCACGCTGTGACTTTAACCATTCAGCTGCATTTGACCACAGTGACAGATATCTTTGCCAAAAGAAATATGAAAAACTCTGGGAGCTGATTGCAAAATTGGGATTGGTCCAAACTTTTCCAAAGTGATGGCTCTGTTGTCTGGAATGCCTCACAGCCAGGACATTTTTCTCAACATGTCAGCTCTACATAACGAAAGCAATAAGAAGAAAATCAGATGTGCACAGAGCTTTTCTCTCTCTGCCTAATATGGGAATAATAATTAACTGTCCAAAAATGTAAGCACTGGCTCATGGCTGATGATTCACCTTTAAAGTTGTGCAAAGAAAAAGGCCAAACCTTTTGCAAAGCATGTATCAGTCATGAAAATGTCTATTCCCTTTGACACAGTAATCTTATTGCTGGAAACTGATCCTAAGAAATGATCCAAAAGAAAAGATGTTCACTACAAAATATGAATGCCCAATAATCAGAAAAATGTTAATTATGGTACATTTTTCTAATGAAATTCTATATTATCATTAAAAATGAATTATGAAGACTGTCAAAATATACAGAAAATACTGAGGATGATATTAAATTGAAAAGCAGAATACAAATGATATATGTGCATTATGAATGTAACCATGTTCAAATATATTTGCACAGAGGAAAAATGGAATGGCAGTATTATGGGTGTTTTTTTATCTTAACATTTTGTAATGTTGATCTACTGTTTTATATGTAGAGAGAACACTCTGTTGCCCAGGCTGGAGTGCAGTGGTGCAATTATAGCTCATTGCATCGAACACCTGGGCTCAAGCAATTCTCTCACCTCAGCCTCCTCAGTAGCTAGGACTACAGGTGCCAGCCACTGTGCCAGGCTTGTTTTAATCTGTTTTTAAGTTATGTACAATATTTTATATTCCTTTTTATACAATAAACCAGCACATAAATAATTTTTAAATTATTTAAAATAGCTAGCTCATTTCAAATATTTGTCCTTTAAAAATTAGGAGCAGGACACTTGCCCAACATTTGACAACCAGCAGGATATCCATGCCAGTTTTGCTTCACCCCTCTGACCATTCTGAAGTTAACCTAGATTCACCTAAGCCCAGAATATAGTCAGATCAGAAAGGCACATGGCTCTGCCTCTGAAAAACTCTTGGCTCAGGCCCTCCCCTAAAGAAACCAGCCACCTGGCCATGGGGATCTGGGTCTCGAGCCTCTACTACTATTTCCAGGGAAGACCTGGCTTGTGAAAACCTCTGGGTCTACTTCCTGCGGTCACCCCTGTGCTCTAGAAGGCAAGTAAGCGATTTCAATATGGACTTTGGATCCTGGACCTAAAGGTAGAAAAATATACAGCTATGAGGTCTTTGTTTTGATGTTTTGTTTCTCAAAAATGGATTTTTTCACACAGTACATGTGGGGAGCAGCTGTTTTCTAGACAACCCTACAGCACTCCACAGAAAGATGAAGAGGTGGGGGCTGCCCCTCTTGCTTCTGGTCTGCTACCAAGAAGAGTTAATCATCTCCCCAAATAGTGCAGGGAATGAGTTTTAACCTTGAATATACAGGCTGTGCACTCAGATATTGGTCATTAATGTTTATGCATGAAAGGAGACAGTTTTTGTTTGGTATACAGAGCATTAAAAAGGAAAAAGGAACTAGTAACTTCTACAGGTTTCATTGTCTTGAGATCAAAATGTTCATAGCAACTCAGAAATCTGTCTAGAGAAATGTAGCTATTGCTAAGCTAATGCTTAATAAACTCAAATAGACCCCATTTTTATTATTGATATATATTAATTATATCATTTCAAATGCATGCTTTTATCAATAATTCTTCAAAGGGAAATTTTTAATTTTACAGTATCTTTTTTTTAATCTATTGAGCTTTTTCTAAACCATCATATCTACGTTGCTCAAAAATTGTTGAGACCCTGGGTCAAGGAGACATTCACATTGGCTTTCAACAGAAAATGTGCTTCTCTACACTAAAATGGCCACTTAAGCAAGACTGTGGAAATGATTTATCTCACAATGTTTAAAGCTGGATCCTCACTCCAGCTATGTCATGGCTGCACAATCAGTCAGAGACAAGTAGTTATACGCTCCTAAATAAAGAAGTGCACTCTAATGGCCAACAGAGTTGAGCATCTAACATACTAAAATTACCTTAATAAAAGTTAAATTACCCACATCCAAAAGAATACAAAAATCACTCGCAATAATAATGTTTAAGTGTTAAGAACAGCAGAACAGGCGACAAAGCGAGACTGTCTCAACAACAAAAAAAAAAGAACAGCAGAACATAAAATAGATCTATTTACATCACATAAATGTTATCTTCCCAAATTGGTGTTAGGTTAAGCCGTGATATTAGCAGTATACAAGTCAGAAAGGAAGAAAGTAGTATATAAGTCAGAAAGTAGCAGTATATAAGTCAGAAAGAAAAAGAAAAGGAATCAAGTGGTATAACCAGAGGCTATCACATGAGAGCATAGATTGCTGTTTATTGTTCACTGTAGTATTCCCAGGACCTAGTAAGTTCTGAATAAATATTTGTTGAATGAATGAATGTATGAATAAAGGAACAGAACTCATCAAAACAAAAACGCAATTTGCGTTGTAGAATTTTAGGGCCATGCATACTTGCCTTAACAAGTCAGAAAAGAGACTTCCCAAAAGTAACATGTTTGCTACTGACTATAATTAA